AAAAAAAATTTGTATGTTTCTGTAAAAAATAAAAAATTATTGAAAAAATAAAAGCGTGCAATACTTTTGTCCCCCCCAGTATTTTCATAGTTCATGTTAGTGGTAAGTTAACATGTGTATAGCTGGAATAACAAAAAAAAATACCTTTATTGCATAATCGACCTGGCCTCGGCTTTCTTCACTAACTATTCCATATTGAGGACGCATGCTAAGCTCCTTGTCTGTTATATTCATGACAATATGGATGGAAGCATGAAGAAGTGCTACGACATACTCATTACGCATGGCTTTCAAGCTATCTGGCTGTAAAGTTCTGTAAGAGCAACCTACCCAAAATTTTTTCCATAGAACGCTTGAGGATCTCATTATCTTCCTTAATTTCGTATGTAAGAGGAGAGAAGAGCGGAATGGAATCTATACCATCAGAGTCGTAACCATATTCCGCTAACACCTCACTCAAGCTAAGGTAAGAGAAAAACGAGCGTAATTTTTTATCTTTACACTTCTTAGCGAAGTCCGCAAGTCTTGTCGATGGTCCTAAGTCTAAGCCAGCACTGCAAAACTTTTCTTCGGTTAACTTAAGAAAGTCACGGCCTGTAATCTTCTCCTTGCGAATAATATTTTCGTCGTCCAAGTCCAACCCTAAGTCCCATTCCTGCAAAAACGAAATAAGGGCTCCAGTGTCATATTTTTTTATTTCGTCCGCTAACGTGAGCATCTCATTTACAGTAGCGGTTGTGGAGGAAGTGGAGACAGGCATGTTTACATTATCAGTCATTTTATAGGGATATTAGGTTCGGACAAAAATAGTGTTACGTTCTGGAGTGAGATAAAAATTTATTTCTGTTCGGGAAAGAGAATACTAGGCATTAATATAGGTTTTTATGTAGCACAAGTATTGCATCATTACACGTGATCCATTTCTCATATACAGTATAATAATAATACTTTATTTATAGAATAAAAGAAATAAAAAAAATGTTGTCGAAAGTCGGCTTACAATACATAAAAATTGCGAATATATCGCTACATGATACAAGTAGAAAAAATACTAATTATTCCTAGGTTTTATGAGAATATGAATTTGATCCTGAACAAGAGGCTTATCGAAATACTTAGATATCTCTTCTCCTGATTCCATAAATTTATTTTCCTTAGGATCGTTCACGTATAGACCGAAGTTGAGGGAGAGAGCTTGATACCCTTGATTTGCTAATAGAGTTTTAACAGCAAATTCGAGAATAGCGACCTTATCTTCCTTGCAGGGTGAGATTATGTAAGTTATTTCATTCTTACCATCCTGGATGCAACACTTAAGATTGACAATACTCCTGTGAGTCATTTTCGTTTCCTAAATGCAAGAAACTATAGTGAGGAAAACTCATTCCCATACATCTGACATATACAGCACATACCTTATTTTGCGTTATTTTACAAGAAAGTTTTTTGCGGAAAGTTGGCTGAACTTCTACATACCCTACATGCTTTATATCTTGCTGGGAAAAGAGTGCCAAGCTGAAGTTAAGGAGGTATGAGGCGTAATTAGTATTGTCGTCTGATGCCAAGAGTCCTTTGAAAGCACATGCAAATGGAATCTTCATACCTTTTCATATGGGGATCTACCAGAGAGACATATAGTTGGTCTTACGCCTGACGATCTTGAAATTACAAAGTCCTCAGCCCTTCATAGCATATGCTTTTGCCGTCAGTATTTATTTTTATGGTAGATCCTATGTTGAAACTAGACCTCCTTTCATATTTTTCTCATGTTTATTCAGAAAAAAATAAAGGTACTAGTTAGCATATATATACGCGAAATTAATATGCGAGAATATCACACAGACCTATTATGTGATCAGCCTATTTTTGTCACACATGAGTACATGCATTGTGGCCCAGCAAAAAATCTTCCGAATTGATGATCACTGCTCCAGACTACCTTTGCTCAGGTTAGTTATCTAATGTATACCTCTCAATAAGTATTGTATTCCATTCAGATTAGCAATATCGGACTGACTAATATAATCTTTAAACCCAGTTATAATACCAGTCACTGATTCTTTTTTCGCCTGAATAAGCATTTCTACCAATTTACGATAATAAATATTTTTTGCAATACATCTCATATTTTCTCGTGTTAATCCACTATAGAATTCACTTCTAAAATGACCTTTACAGAGTTTAATGATATCATTACTTTTCTTCGCCTTTAAACAGTAATCCACTATTGATTCTTCACCTTGAATAAACAATCTACATCAGAACTTCTCAATACCTTCCGGCCATATTTCCCTTCGAAATTCATGCAGACAATATGGCAATTTTATCAGACTCAATATTTGCGAAAGATAAAAGGCATCAGATTGTAGGAATACATGGAATAATGACATTGGATTTTTTACACTGGGCAAAGCATATACAAATTGCTTAAGCGCTTCCTCCCTTCAATGCCTGACCGCCTTTGTCTCCCAATAGGTTTTGATTGTGCAAAAAAGATCGCCCCAGTATTTCCACTCATCGGGATTCCTTACATTATCCCATTTATATTTCAATCCAAATTCTTTGATAAATTCATTATAGCCTTTATCTGTCTCGTCATCTGACATTTTGCTAATAGATTGGTTAAATAGCTAGGAAGAATTTCAATCAAAAAAATTTCCTGAACCAAAGCCGGTAAACAAATAGAGCAGGATAGAGGGATTTATCTATCACTAAAAATGTAAATTCTGTTCAAATAATTCTGGTAAATAAAAGATGCTTGATTGCGCCATAAAAAATATATGCTATATCTTTAACAAAAAAATAAAATTACGCATATTGATGATCACTGCTTTGGATAATCGTTATTCTGTATTAGGTTCATATTTTACTTCTTTGAATGGGATCGCAAAATTATCGTCTAATAATAGTTTTAAATTGCGTATATCTAAAGTTGCACCACTTTCTCAGAACCAAGGGCCTTCTAAGATTAAATCAGGAAAATGATCTGGCCAATCTGGTCCAACAACTATGAATTCAGTGGGTATGCTTTTATGCTTCTCGCTATCATTAAAGTCGATATGCAGATCAACCTTTCCTAATGTGGAATAGGATGCATCTGGAGTTTTAATGCTATTATTTTCATCATGATATGCATTTCCTAATTCACCAATATATTTTTGGCTAATGCAATTTACGTTAGCGCATGTATCAATTGATGCCTCGATAGAGATATTTTCTTCGACTACATAATTTACAAATACCATTTTTATTATGATATATATAATATCCAAATATAAAAAATAAACCTCTATTCAATACTCGGTAAGATAATCAAGTGATCATACAAAGCACCTGATTCTTTGAATCCCTCTGGCTTGGCCCATTTTAAACTACCAACTGTTTAACCTTTTTTAGTCGTGCCTTCCTTCATTGCTTATAAGAGATAGTCTCGTTTTCTCTTATCACAATTGTCTTAACCGAATCAGATTCTTCAGAAGACTCAGACAAATAGGAGGAATCCTTATACAGAGCGTCTCTCGACCCTTTTTTATCAATTATTAAAGGAATTATTTCTTGTATTATGTCGAGCACAGTTTCCCTTATCTACACATTCGTTCAGGTCTTCTAATTCAATCTCTAAGGACTTTACATCTCTCTCTAATCTTTTTACCCTCTTTTCTAAAGTGTTATGTTGAGAATGATAATCTTCCAATTGTTTCTTTAATGCCTTATTTTCACCAGAAAGTACACTATATATTTCTGCATTTTGCTCATTTAGTCTAAATATCTGGGCTAATTTCTTTGTATATCTAATAACTTCCTGCTCGCTAGCTATACTATCAGATGAATGCTTTTGATCGGCTATCATTTTTGTGATGTATTCTATATGCTAGATCTTGTCTTGAACGAAAAAAAATAAAATTACGCACATTGATATCCCAACTCGATCCCTCTAAGATCCCTCTAACCCTTATATGTAAATAATGTAATTAGTTTTCATTGAAGAACATGAATGGGTTTGCTTGATCGTAAGGCATTCCACGAGGTCTGTAATTTACTATAGTATACCTCTGCGATGGTGCAGTGTTATTTTTAGGACTATGTCGAAGTGCTTGACTAGCAATAGTATTAGCTTTTGATAGATTCCTAATCCCACTCGCTACAACTGCAAATACAGCTCCTAAATTACATAAGAAACTAGGAAGTAATGGCTTACCAGTTTCGGGAAGAAATTCAGCTTTTTTCAGAAACCTACTCAAGATTCCAGTTTCAGGCGTCCCTGGGTCTCCTAACCGTTCGGAAGATATTGCTTCCTGAATTCATGTAAGCAATTGCTTTGCCCGTTCCTCATTTTTTTCAAGTGATCTAAACACTTGAGGAATATCCTGTTAATCTTGGTTTTTTACATATACTGTTACATCTCCATTGGATATACGCAAATCTTTAATTTCAGCTGGACGGATACAGAGCATAATCATTACATCAGCTAGAACCTGTTTGTCAGGTGTATTAGATACATCATACGAATCCAATCTCTCCTTAACCAATTCTAACGAGAAGTGGTCCAGATAATGAATTCCTTCATCTTTGCATAATAAACTCTTCTCCTTTTGGATTTTATTCGATAAAGTGATCATCCCTGAAATCTTCGTAGCTTCGATTATTGCCTTTGAGACATTAAGCTTCCGCAATTCCTTTCGGAGCCTACTGAGACTAGACGTGCAGGCAACCAGATTAGGGGATGTCTCGGCTAATGCTTTAGCTATAAGTTTTACTTCTTTTTCACCAAGGCTATCCCGCATAATATGCTGAGCCGTTTCTCTAATAATTTCTCCTTCTGGGATAATATCTGATACTTGGTAGGTGCTTTTAGCACAGCATATATTCACTTCTGCTTCTGCCCCTCCTTCTTTGAGGGTTACTTGACTTTTAGTTTGACCAGTTCTTTGAGAAGGTATCAATGCAAATGCTTGTTCTTTACTAAAGTTATATCCTTTTTGAAGATGATCGTGAGCCTGACGCCTTTTCTTTCTATTACCTGATAAGAACTCAAGTATTTCTGACACATATCGGCTAAGCTCTTCGAGACTCATTTCATTGGTGAGTCTGTGGTCTGTAACAAACTTGGTTGTAATAGCAGACATGTTGTGATAAGTAGACTATGGTGGTAATTAGATTAATCTGTGATATTCAGATTATATATTGTGGGATAAAGTTCAATTCAAAAAAAATATTCTGATAATGTTCGCTACCTTATAGTCGGTGAAAGTTATCAGAGAATTGGAGGAGCGAAATAATAATGATATAGCTTATGTTAGGTCTCTATGAAGCCACCGGCCAGGATATCTTTTATATATTTAAAAATTGCAGGTAGATAGGATATGTGAAAAAAAAATAATAATAATTTGGAATTATATATTGCCTATGTGTAAAGACTATAAAGACCCTCTTACCCAAACAGCTTTCTTGTGAACCGGCTTTTTATTCGTTCTTTACCAAAGCATACTATTCTCCTGGAGTATGCTTACCATTTTTTTCCATTCCTCATCAGTATCAAGCCAGGAGGATGTAACTCCATCATCCTCGAGCTCACGACAGATTATTTCTTCTCCTATTAATCTTTCACGTACTGTCATGTCCATATATTCTTTGAGGTCTTCTTCCGTCTCTTCTGCCTAACTACATATTCGTGAATCGGTTTTCATCCTATTCTGGAATCAAGACGGTCTTTTTTGGTAATGGTCACAAAGTCATCTAGGTTCTCACCTAGTTCGACTGCCTTTTTTCTGAGACGCTCTTCTCGCTGAGCTCTGGCCAGAAGTATGGCAGATAATACTTGATTGATAAGCTTGAGAGAGTCACGCTTATCGCTTGTTTCTTTTAGAGGCATATTCACCACTTTGTTGATAAGCTCAGGTTTATCCATTACTTGCTCAGGTGGTTTGGAAGTCTCGGATGTGCCAGATGTTGAGGCGACCGGAACATGTATATCCTTTACCACAAAGTTAAAAAGGTTCTGGGTCGATTCGTCCTGATTACCGGCCTTCCTATCTTTACTGGTATTAGGTAAAGGCGTGTTCTTTTTTGGCTGAGGCGGGATTATTTTCTGGGGAATAGTTTCTGGCACATTGAATATAGGTATGTCTGTGGTTTCATTCTGGGATCCCTTGTTTGTGGGTATGTCATCTTGAAGTATGTCAGAGAACTCTTCGATATTACCTAGACTGGATTTATAGAGCTTAGCTACGATCTTAGAGCGGTCAAGAATATACTGATATACTCTTACTCCATTATCTCGTGAACGTGTTCGATCAATGCCAATTAGTGAAAACTTCTTTCCTAGTATAGCACTATTATATGGTTTTTTCCTATTCTCTCCACACCATTCAAGATAATTTTGATATAGTGATGTATAACTTGGTTTGGCTACTTTATCCTCGCACCATGAGGAAATATAATTGATTATAAATCAAATGGGAGTAGGAAGCTGATCACGTATTATATCTGATTTCATTTTAGTTGCAGGAATTTCTTGTGGTTCAAAATCTGAGATATCACGACTAAGAAGATATTTTATAACCACTCTAGGCGTATCAGGATGGTTAAATACATTTCATAGTCTTTTAAAATATGTTGTATTATCCCTACAGCATGACGAAACATCATAATAGACTACACGAGAATCTTCTATATCTATCTTGATCAGAGCATCTTGATTACTTATAACCATATACCTGGCGAAATCATCTAATCGTTTAGATTCGAGACCCTTGCGCTCTATAATCACCATTCCTTCCGTTATAAGAGATTTGAGATGCCTATTAAATCTATGCCAGTCTCCACTAGACATTCCAGTCTCATTCATAATAATAAGTTTTTGAGCTTGAATGGTGCTATTAAAACGTCCAAGAATTTTCTCTAAATCTGATGTAGCATAATGGAGATGTCGCCCCAAAACTTTATCACCAATAAAATCGGTAATAATGTTTTTTTCGCATTGTTGTAGTGTGGATTTTAGGACTAAGATTATTCGAGGTTTCTCTTCTGGCTTCTGCACTAAATATGCCCACCAATCCCAAAGATATTCATGAAGTTTCACATTTCCATCACTGATTATATTCAACGTATGCCAGAGAATTAGATCCATAATTTCTTTATTAATTTCTGGCGTTGGCTTAGCCAAAAATCCTAGGAAAGATTAAAGAAATCTGTATCCGGCTGAAGAATATTTATCGAATATGGAAGGAAATTCAATCTTTATAAATTATTAGACCCCTAGTAACTGCTTGGTCTATCAATGACTTTAACTTCACAGATTCACCCCCATATTCGATTATTTTGATCTTGAAATCGGCAAGCTTTAGTTCAACTTCCATATCAAAGTAAAGCCCATTCTGTCTATCTTCACGCTTAATGAGCCACAATTTTTAAGTTCCTTGCACACAGGCAACTGTTGCTTAGATAGCTTCATAAACTTCAGCGCAGGAGAATTTCTTACCTAAAGTACACATGTATAATAAGTCCCACCATACGAAATGGTCATTTGGATTTGAAATTCTGGATCGGTCCTTTTTCACCGGACTTTGAAGCTTTTTCTCTCTATCTAAAGCTGTTTCGTTAATAGCAAGTTTTAATGAAGGATTTCTCATCCCAGGCTGTTTATCTTGATTGGCACGATAACAGAAAAAGCTATAAGATTTTTTATTTCGTCTGATATATGTATTATTACTGGTATGTTCTCAATCACATAATGGGCAGTGTGATGGAGAGATGCGTGATAGTGGAAACTTGTCAGGAAAATTATCGGATGAATATGAGAGATTATACCCTTCGATGCTAGCTTCTTGAAGTAATGTCTCTACTAGTTCGAATTCAGCATCAGTGGTGACATTATTTATGCTAGGACATCCCTCCATTTCTGCTTTCAGAATATCTAAAAGAGAACTTTTAACGACTTCTGATTCATCATTAGGCGGGCAAATCATGAAGTCAAAGAAAGTTCCATCTTTTGGATAAACTGGTTTTTTTACACGAACATGTTCTTCAGTCTTTTCGTCAAACTTAGGAGATCCAAGCATCCGTAAGGAGAAAGACCTTTTATTTGCGATATTATCAATAATACTATTTCCTTGTAGAGCTGTCAGAAGTTTCTTACGAACAAGCTCAGTAAAAACTGCAATCTGAGCAATATTTGGAAGTCTCATACCAAAAGTTAAGATATGGAGGGACATTTTTTTTGCATCACTACTGCTGACAATTGTTAAAGTTTTATAATCCCACTTTGGGAATATTTCCAAACATGTTTTTCTAAAAGCAAGAATAAGTGAATCTAGTATCTCTTTACGTGTTAACTTAGGCTTAATAGTATTGAGTACTTCTTGTGGCAAATTGAAATCTATGATAGGCCGGAGTGGTTCATCCCCATCAATGAATTCGTACAAGGAATGACCTTCATATTCTGAAAGAATGGCTTCTATCTCATCCTCATTATCTGCGTTGAGGAAATGCCTTGGCCTAACACTATCGTCACGAATTTTACATAGACATTGACCTATATCAGAGGCTTTAAACCCATAATAGAATGGAGCGGAAGACGCGTTGAAGAACTCTGAAAGCTCAGATTGAGTCATTTTTTTCGAAATATGATAACTAAGTATACCTTTCAGTATAATACCCTAGGAAAAAAGTTCAAAATAAAAATAAATATTATTATAGATATTAAAGACTAACTAATAATAATACTGAAGATGGACGATTCTAATGACATATTTATTTTCATTGATAATTACATTGCGAAGGGTGAATACATTTGCCAGTATTGCTCCAATGAAGGGATGGTTTGTGAAGATCCCGCATAATGACCAGAAGGATGTCATATTCACTGAAAAAGATGCCAGCGACCTCTATGCAAATAAGATGGGTGTGTAAGACCGATGGCATCAAAATATGGATATTGTAATTTGCATGTAAATAAGTCTCATTCAAAAGCATATTATCATCAGAAGAAGATGGATAAGATATTTCAGGATGGGCAAACACCAGAAGCATTAGAACAGGCTCTTGATAAACTATTGCAAGAAGTTGTCTCTAGAAAGTTGTCCTTAGAAAGTTGTCCCTAAAAAAAATGTGGGAAACACTTTTGAGGACGCTAAAAGTAGGCTTTTTGACGATTTTAGAATTCTGGGAAGTCTTCTAGGCAGGCGTCCCTAGTATCCCTAGTGTTCTTACGAAAAATCGAAACTTCTAAACTTTTTTTTTATTTTTTTTTTAGCATATGTATATTACACATATAATCTATATAGTATCCATATACCACCTATATAGCATACATATGTAGCATAGGAAAAGTTTTGATTTTTTTCCTACAACTTTATTCTTACTAAGGACACTAGGGACACTAGGGACAAACATAGAGAACATAACTAAACGGCTCCAAATCCTTAAAACAAATATCGAAGTTGTCCTTAGAAGTGTCCCCAGAGAAATTTTACCTAGGACACTAAAGACGTTTAAAAAAATAGCATACACACTACCTCGACCCAGTTTAAACCACGATCAGATCTCAGAAGTGCTTATAACATCCCGCCAATATACCGGCAACTAATAGGCAATAGTTGGGTCGCAAATGGTACACTTCTGGCAATCAAATAGGCCGGCCATAATAATACAAATTACATCTCCAATCTCAGGATACGAAATCGGCATACATATACCGGCAATAAAAAGATAATGATAAGGTTGCAAGATGGTGTACTTCCAGCAATCAAATGGGTCAAGCCAAGATAATACATATTACACCTTCATGCGAAATTGGCATACATATACCAGTAACAAATGGGCAATAATTGGGTCATAAATGGTGCAGGCCGACTATGATAATGCACAATTTTTTATATTTTACAATTTGAATTCTCTGACCTGCAGGTCAGCAAAAGTCACGTGATCAGCGCAGTAAGGCGCAGTACCAGCCAGCATTATTCCACAATTTTGGCCAGATCTTTGGGCATAAGAAATCAGCATCCAAGTTGGCAAACTACCAGTTCCATAACAGTTCCATGACAGTTCTACAATAGCTACCAGGTCACTACTAGGTTACTACTATGACGCCAGGCTGGATCCTCAAATCACATGCCCAAAAGATCAGCCAGAATTATGACATAGTGTCCAGCCAAAATTAATCGCAGATTTACATCGAAATATTGCGCCACCTGATACCATATTTTTTTACCACATTTCAGCATCTAGAAAGGCAACCAAATAGGCACAAAGGGTAAGTACTTCAATATAGAATTTGACATTCAATCAGACGTGAAAGGTCAGTATCAACAATATATAACTTAAATTACAAATAGAGTAGAAACAGGAAGAAAAGAGAGGTATCTAGATTAAAGTGTAGGGGTATTTAGATTATAACGTGGTAATAAAATCATACATAAGAGAAAAATACAGATATCAAAAAAGGTATAAAAATATAGCTAGAATGTGAATAGAGATAGCATCAAAATAAAAGGGGTAGATTATAGTGTGGTAGTCAGATTATGTATTCAGATTAAAGCGTGGTAATTAGGTCGTAGTAATTAGATTATAGCATGATATTTAGGTTATAATGTGATATTTAGATTTTAATGTAGTATTTAGATTATAGTGTGATATTTGGATTATAGTGTGGTATCTAGAATATAACGTGGTATTCAGATTATAGTATGGTATTTAGATTATAGCGTGATACTATAACCTAGTCTAAGTGGGATACCACGCTATAATATAATTATATTATAGCATGGTATTCCACTAATTTGCTAAAATTAAGTCTTAAATTTTATATATAATAAAGGTTAAAGCAAATTAATAAAGAATAATTATGTATAATAAATATTAGTTAATTTATTATTCTCAAAATAATAAGTATATTCATAAATTTTCACATTAATTATTAATTATAATCAAAAAGTGCAATACAAATATATCAATTTATAAGGTATTTACTAATTATTATTTTAATTATATTGTATTAATTAATAGAAAATTATTAAGATATATGATATAAATATTTAATTAAAAATAAATAAATAAGAAAAGATTTATTTTAAATTGAATATACAATCTGAGTAAAACTACTAAAAAAATTTTCTATAAATCTGGATTTATTTTACTAAAAAAAATAATATTTAATTTATAAAGTAAAAAAATCTTTTTGATAGTTTTTTCAGAATCCCAAAAACTTATATTTGATGTTTCTAATAAAGATAATACTAAAACTATTTAATGCTTATTTATTATCAGATGCAATTAGTTTTTGTTAATGTTATAACTAGTTGCAATTTTGTGATACTTATTTATCACTAATTGTAACTAATTATAGCATTGTTAATAAAGCTTATAAATATAAAATATTTTAAATATTTTACTATAAATAAATAAATTAAATTTAAAAAATAGAAATATTACACTACATTATTATGATTTTTTTCTTTTTAAACTAGCTAATAAATAAAATTTTAAGTAATTTTACTATAAAATTCATAAAATTTTATCAGACACATCAATTATAAGTTTTTAAAATCTTATTTCTTTTCTATTGTAAATGCTTATATAGTATTAAAGTATAACATTTATATAATATAAATTTAAAAACTTATTATAATCTATATTTTAATAAACCTAAAAATTCTTAATAAAATATATATTTATTAATATTTAAATCTATTTTAAAATTCTTGTAACATCAAATTATTGTTGTAATTTTTGTTATTTATCTAAAAAATAATTTATTTATTATATAATTTATTCTATTTAAATAATAATAAGTTTAAAATAAATAAATTTTTTTTTTATACTTATAATTATAATAATTATTTTTTTAGTTAATAACTATAATAAATTTTCTTAAATTTAATTAAAACAATTTTTAAGTAAACCTTTATATACTAAATCATTATCTATTTTTTCTTAAATAATAAGATTCATTAATTAATATTTTATAAATTTAATAAAACTCTTTTTATTTAGTTTTAATTTTTCTAAAAACTAATTAATTTATAATAATATTATAATATATAAACATAACAAAACTATATTAAAGTTTAATAAAAATTAGTAAAATTAAAGATTTAAATATTTTGTTAATTCAAAATAAGTTTATATAATTAATCTTAAATAAATAATTATTGTTTAAATTATTCTTTGATCAAGTTTAATTTTATTACTTTTTATAATATATCTTTGATAGCTAATTTTATTTATTATAAAATTATTTTTTTTTAGTTTTACCTTTAAATTTATTTTTTTAATTTAAAAAAAACTTATTATACATATTTGTTAAACTCAGTAATTTTTTAAGTAATAACTTTTGTTTAAATTAGTAAAACTGATTAAAATATAATTTAATTAAACTTTATAATAAATTTAAAAGTATATAATTAATTAATATTATATTTTAATAATTTATTATATTAATAAATTTTTTAAAAAGCTATTAATAAATTTAATAATGCAAATATTATATAAACCTGTCTTATAATCTTATGTAAGTTTAAGATTTATATTTGAAATATAAATTTCATTTCAAATATTTGAAAGTTTTTTAAAATAATTTTAAATGAATATTAAAATGACTTCAAATATCAATAATCATTTCAAAAAAAATATATAAAAAAATAATATCAAAAAAAATTTAAAAATTTGATTAAAAAAAATAATAAAATAAAAATCAATCAATAAAATCGATTAAATTAATTGATTTTGATATTTGAAATCTAATATTTGAAATTAATTTTGATATTTAAATCATTTTGATATTTAAATATTAATTATATATTTTTGATATTTGAATTTTATTTATTTACAAATGAATATTCAAATATATTATTTTTAATGAAAACCCTATATAAGTTTATAAACCTATTAAAATATTTATGTATATATAATAATTTGATATTTTATAATATATAATAATTCAAAAGTTTATGACATATAATTATTTAAAAATATATAATATATAATATAATAATATTATAGTAATTTGTATTATTACAAAATAATAATTATATATGATTTACATATAATCTATAAATATAGTGTACAGTCAATTTTTGTTATAACGAACTCTAGTTCTAGACCTCAACTTCACTATAAGGCTATACAAGGAAGACCATCCCAAATAAGGAAAAAGATTACACGATTTATTAAATTTTTTTTATATAGTATATAATACTTTTTAAGAGATCATCTATCTACCATTTCATCAAATGAAATGTGGGTAATATTCCTAAGCAAATTTGAAGCTTTCTTACTATATTATTATAATATATATTAAATTCTTTTGAACTTTACAACCTTCATATTATTATTAACTGTTTAAAAATATATTCAAGAGTAAGCATTGTATAGAATACCAAGCTACTGAGTCAACCAAATTCTGTTTGTTAAAGGGAGAAAAATAGAGAGAAGCTATAAGGAATGATTTAATAAAGGTAAGTTAGGTAGAGGGTAGTATTTTTTATAATATTTGTTACATGCGGTTTGTAAAAAACCCTTTAAAGAGAGGTACTAAGAGAGCAAAAGTCACAGACGAAGAAGCTATAAACAAAAATGTCTTGAATGTAGTTGAGAAAAAGGCAAGTATAAATATCAATCTCACTTGAACCATCAAAGCAATAGCAAAAATCCTTTACAAAAGAGAATATATAAAGAAGGAAGTTCCTATTTATGCATTTGATGAAATGCGAAGAATACTTCAGGAAATTGAACTGAACTTGACTGATTTTTTTGATCAACTTTATTTGGCAGCTTAACCACTTAAATGTAATAAACAAATAATAGATTATATGAAGAGATTAATGATGCTCATATGCTATTTTCTCACTTTATTGAATAATACTAAAATTAATTATTTTAAGGTTGACCTTACATACTAGTAGATACGAGTAATGAAAACCTAAATATGATAGTAAACCTTAGCGTATCTATTACGGCAAGAATAGTAGATTATAAAAAGAAGAAGATATCAGATATATATAGAGAATATATTGAGAACTCTCTTGAAAAAGATTCAGAAAATGCCTTTATATTGAATATTAACGATTATCATAATATTCATATTCAAAGACAAGCTGATACT